TGATTCAATCTTGGGGGAAACTGCATAAAAATATTTAAGGGACAATTGTGAAAATTTAAAAATGACTTGTATATTAGTTGTGATTGCAGAATCATTGCTAAGTTTCCTAGGTATGATAGTGGTATTGTGGTTATATAGGAGATTTTCTATATTCTTAGGAGATTCATATTGAAGCACTTAGGGATCATGATGTCATACTGACAACTTATTTTCAAAAATTGTGTGCATCATGTGTTTGCGGGGAGACAGAAAACTAAATATGGTAAAGCATTAACAACCATTGAATCTAGATGAGAAGCATTTGTGGTTTTATTCTTTTGACATTTTAAATGTTGAAAATTTTCATAATAGAAAGTAGACAGATAAATATCAATAAAAACCAGTTAAAATTTAGTATATATATGTATTTGAAGAACTTTTTAGAGTCATGTTTTCTTTCCCTCAACCAGTTTCAAATAAGCATCCAATACTTTATCAGGAACTAATTCATCTACCTCAAAATTGATATTCACACCCAACTTGCTGTGCTTTTAAAAGCTTTTTAACCTCTTGTACATCTCTAGCAGTTTCCACGTGGAAAGAATTTGATGTCATTTCTGCACACCCAAATTCCTGTTGGCGGGATAATCAGCAAGGAAGACAGAGAGCTGCTTCCTTCAACAGCTGCATTCAGCACAAAACTGAGAGCTGATTATGTGGAGAAATAATCCTTCAGAGATAAGGCATCTAGTAAAGGCATCAGTTATCTTTTCCATGCATTCCAAATACTGTATTGGATCCAAATTGGAGCAGTATCATTCTCTATAGCTGTATTGGCAACAGATAGACACAAATGAACTATGTAATATGGCAAAATGCACAGTTATCTGAGGCTTCTATTATTAGTACCAGTTCTCAACTCAGTGGGAAAACTCTTCTTCAACTTGTCAATGGGACAGTTTTGTTTGTACATAGCAGCTTTCCATTATCATTCTTCTCACCCCAAACTTCCCTTTATCCCCAAGATGCCGCAAGACAGAGGTGCTTCCATCTGGCCCCAGTTCAGCTGATCTCCAGTCCCTCTGCCCATGAGAGTCCCAGGAAAGCATGCCGTCTCCATCTTGTCCATGCTAACTAAGTGGCCTGGGTTCTGCTCTGGAATCTTAAGGAGTCCCTACAGGTCAGGCCTTCCCTGCTCCATCCAGAGAGGGGCCCCTCTCATACTGTAGAATGCTCAAAGTCCACAAATGTTAATTCTTCCCTTTGTTACCAGTAGAACTAACTCAGTTAAGGTTGAGCTCATGGTAGGCAACCTCAAAATCTCAGCGGCTTATCAAAGAAGTCATTAATTTTTCTTGCAGGCCAGTAGAGGCAGCTGTGCTTTACACTATGAACTGAGTCAGGGCTGCTTCTCTTGTCTCTCATCCTCTGGACCAGTGACCACCTAGGGTGGCAACAGGGCCAGTGGGCGAGCAGAGACACAAGGGGACTCTTAAGGCATCAGCTCAGAATTAACATGCTTGCTTCTACCCATATTCCATTGGCCAAAGCCCTGCATGAGTTGTAGAAAAGTACTCTCCACTTTGGTGAGTAACTACCAAGAGAAAAGAGGCAAGGAAGAATTGCAGGCAAGTAATACCATCTACCTCGGCCTCCTATGCAGTGTGGTGTGTACTTACACCTAAGTCCTGGCCAGTAGGATATGAGGGGAAGTGAGTCATACAACTCCAGGCCCTGTCCTTGTAAAGACTGGGCCCTGCCTATCCCCTGCACATCTGCTAGGGACATAGTAGGACAGCAGCAGTTGCCTGGCCCAGAGATAGATGGCACAGCTATCCTGCTGGTCCTACCTCTAGACTGCCACATGTACCTCACTTGCACTATTTGGGTTTTGCATCTCAGCTATAGCATCTTGAAACCCAAACTAGCACACCATTCATTCATTCATTTATTCACTCATTCAAAAAATATGTACTGAGTGTCTTTGTGCCAGGCATTGCACTAGATTTTGGAGAAGTGACAGTGAACAAAAACAAACTTGGTTGTTCTGTATCTTGGCTGCGGTGGTGGTTACACAAGCCTACAAATGTGATAAAACTGCATAGAACTGAATACACACACAAAGAGGAATGCCAGTCAAACTGGAATTAAAGAATCAAAAAGTCACTGGTGACTCAACATGGCAGCAGTCCATCTTCAACCACACAGATGACAGCAATGTGCTGAAGTATGGCAAAGCAATGATTTAAAAGGAATTAGGGAGAGCTGCCAGGCAGGCATGCTCACCTTGGACTTTGAAGCAAGATAGACATAAAGTTCTTTGTTCTTTGAGTAGAGTGTCCACATAATTTATCATCCAAACTGAAACACCTGTGAAAGTAATTACACTGGAACAACTTGTGTGACTGACCAGCTGGTCACTCCATCTTTAAGCCATCGCCTTGTTGAGACTGTTATCAGAGCCCATGGAGTGCCATGCATGGACAGCTTATTTAGACATAACAGAGAAAAATTAAAGGGAAGGAGGAGTGAGGAAGAGCGGAAAGAATAAAGAAACGGCGTGCATTGGCAGGAAACAATGCAAGGAGAAAAGTAAACAGGAATCAGATTTTCTACTAATTTTTGCTGTGTGTTCCTGTATCAGTTTATAAATTAATATCTACATCTATGACCAATTGGAAGAACTAACTTTTTAGATCCTCTCTTCCATGAAAACTGCAGATTTCTCTATTGGGATGGAGTTGAGAAAGCTGTTAAACAGGCCAAAGCCACATGAGGACATGTGTTATGAGAAGAGAAATGGTCTTCTATAAATTGGGTGCTAGGGAAGGCTTGGTATAGGTAATGTAGAGGTTCTCAAACTGTGGAGAAGCTCAAAGTATGTTCCTTTGAGCCTTGGTCTTCTAGTTAGGCAACTGGCTAATCCACCGTACAAAAAGACATCAAACACACTGGCTTCAACAAGCAGGCCTCTGTTTCTTTTTCGGGTGACAGTTCAGAGGTAGAAGGTGGGTGGTGCAGAGCAATAGTTGCCCTGCTCTTTAAGGTACTCTAGGCACTGAGGTTGCTTTGCCAACATCAGCACATGGTATCCACCTGCAGATCCAAGAGACTGCTCCAGTTCTCCCATCCCCAGCCAGGTATAAGGGCAGGGGAAGCAGAGGACTAAGGTTTCTTTTCAAAGTCATCACCTGAAAGTTGTCCCTTCACTTCTGCTTACATCCCATTGGCCAGAGACTTGAAAGGAAGCTGGGCACATCCCCTGCCAAACCTCTGGTGGTGAGGCTTCGATTACTAAATGGAAGAAAGGGACACAGGGTATCTTGGAGTTGATACCTAGCTCTTTGGAGGTGACTCAGATTACTAGGGAGAGTCTGTAAGGCCCAGTGGTCAACACCCCAATTCTCCAGTCTCTACCGGAGAAGCTGCACCGTCATCTATTTGAGGGTTCTGTCTACATTTTTATCTGAAAAATAAGTTTATCTGCTTTAAAAAAGAAACTGTGAAGACCATTTTACAGAAGATTGGTTTGCCAAAGTAGAAAGAGAAGCTCATCAGTGATGTGACTTAATCAAAACACTGGTTATACCTCTAGATCTCAGAGCTGACACTGAAAGCCCCTACCACAGTCTTTCTGCCCCAAGGAAAGCCTGGGGATAGGGTGGGTGACATTGTCAAGAGCCAGACCCCAGCTCCTCATACACAAAGCTCATTTGCTTTTCCCCCATCCGCCTCCCCCGTACTTCTTGTACATGAATACAAAAGAAAATAAGAATCTCAAGTTTGGAAAATCCCACTTTGCTTCAAGTGAAGTCACTGGGTTGTCCCCATGAAATGTCTTCACAATGGATTTGCTAGACCTTTACTCTCCATGACACCACCAAGTCTCCCTCACCCTGCCAGAGCCCTCTGAAGTGTACTCATAGTGAAGGGGCTCAAAGTGGGGCCAGTGGTCTTGGTATTCAGCCTCCCCTTCTGACACAAGGGTTATTGTGGAACAACTTGTGTGACTGATCAGCTGGTCTCTCCATTTTTTTTTTTCTTCTTCTTCTTCTTAAGACAGAGTCTTGCTCTGTCACCAGGATGGAGTGCAGTGGGACCATCTTGGCTGCAATCTCTGCCTCACTAGTTCAAGAGATTCTCCTGCCTCAGCCTCCCGAGTAGCTGGGACTACAGGCGCGTGCTACCATGCCCAGCTAATTTTTGTATTTTTAGTAGAGACGAGGTTTCACCATGTTGGCCAGGATGGTCTCAATCTCTTGACCTCATGATTTGCCTGCCTGGGTGTCCCAAAGTGCTGGGATTACAGGCATGAGCCACTGTGTCCGGACTGGTCTCTCCTTAAGCCATTGTCTTGTTGACTCTGTTACTGCAGAGTTTGGGGAGATCTCATGGCTTCCCGGTTCCTATGCCCTGAGCCTCTCTGAAGCCAAGTTCTGGCCACGGGTTAAGTGATACAAGCACAGTTCCTCCTTCTGCTTCTCCAGGAAGCTTCTGCTGATTGAATGCAGGCCAGATGGCAGGATCTGGGGCAGCCTTCTTGAATCACTGGAAGGAAGGGGCACAAGAAGGGAATGGGTAACAAGATAACAGGAGCCCTCTCCCTTATGACTACAGAGCCATCGTGGCAGCCCTGGGCCTCCATTTCAGACTTTCGTCTTGTCTAAGCCACCAACATTAGGATCTCAGTCAGTCATCGTTCTAATTTACATGGGTGGCTGGGTGAGGGCAGAATACGACTTTCCAGCTGTCGGAGATTAAGCAGAACACCAGCTAAAGCAGTAACAGCAGATCTCCTTCAGTAGCTTGCCATAGGGAACAGGGTCCAGCGTGAACTGAACTCAACTTCCCTTTGTGTAGAGGTAGCTGGGCATTTAAGTTTAGAGTGAAGGGACAGGGAGGGAGAGATAGCGGGTTGAGGGGGTGGGCGTTGGAGCAAAGGCAGGATAGTGGAGATTTACAAAAGCAGACTAGGGCAGGTCACGTGATTAGGTGATCCGGGTTTGCTGACTGGGGTCTGTGGTAGCCTCCTACCCTCCTCACCTTTAGGTGCTGACTGGATCAAACAGTTCTTTTGACAGCCTTGAGCTTTCCCTGGCAGGAATTTACTGGGGCTGCAGTCGCCCTAGAAACATGGCTTTGGGCTATGGAAACGATGCTGTTGAAGTCTCTTATCGCGGCAGTGGACCGGGTTGTTAACACGTCCAGCGTTCTTCTGCTTTTCTCACAGCCCACCCCTACTTCCATCTCTGGGATCTTTGCTGGGAGGCCCCAGGTCAGCTCGGCCCTTGGGGTGGCGGGAGAGCAAATGGGGACCCAGGGTCTCCGGGCTGGCAGCCCGGTCACGTCCCGCCTTCTCCTCTGCTTGCGGGAGCCGGGGCGGTTGGGAGAGAAATCATTTAGACACAGGTCGGGAGAAGAGGAGCCCTAGGCGCCATCACCCAGCTTCCTGGTTTCCGTCACGGTATTTTTGTTGTTGCTGTTTTTTGAGACGGAGCTTCGCCCTTATTGCCCAGGCTGGAGTGCAATGGCGCGATCTCCGCCCACTGCAACCTCCGCCTCCCGGGTTCAAGCGATTCTGCTGCCTCAGTCCGTCATGTTTTTGTAAATTAGAACCGGCCTATTAGTCACAACCTCGTATCTGAGCTGTGAAGAGAGGCCCAGCAGGGGGCGAGGCGCGCTGGCAGGGACGGTAGGAGGGAGGGCCTGGCTGAATTGCGACCACTCTTGGCATGGTTACGGTGCCCGGAGCACCTCCCAACCCAACAGCTCCTCGCCATTCCCAGCCTCCAAACCCCTATCCGGTCCCCAGGGCACTTTCCTCCTCTCTCTCAGGCACGTCCTTGACCTCAGTTGCCAAGTGCACATGCTGGTGCCTTCCAGGTCGGCCTTTCTCCACCGGGGTCTCCGCCTGTAACTTTCTTCCTCCTCGTCCTTTGATGGGCTAACCCATACTCAGCCTCGGCCCTCAGCTGCAGGCTCTAACAATGCCTCCTAGTCTTTCCCACATCCCCGCGACCAGGTCAGGCTCTGCTCCCTAGGGTTCCTCTCTCCTTGCTTCCTTCCTCTTCCAGCCTCCCACCCTCTTCCTCCCTCTCCCCTCCCCGGAGCTTCCCCGCCAGTGTGGATTCCCTGACCTCATAAGGGCCTGTCTAATGGTCTATGCTGGATAGAAGCAGCAAAACGGACCCTTTTGCTCTTGCCTTATCCCCAGTACCAAGGAAAGGGCTCAGTAAATATCAGTTGAATAAGCAAAAGTAGAAACTTGAGTCCATAGTGGCAAGAGGACGGGAGGCAGCAAAAGTGGGGCTAGAGGTCAGCTACCCTTTCAAGAAGTTTGACAGTGAAGGACACAGAGGAATAGAGGATCAGTGGATGGTACAACAGAGTGAAGGGAAGCCGGACATCACTGGGGCCAACCCCAGCAAGTTTGAAAGTGGAAGCTAAGGGGCCCTATGACGAAGCCAGTGAGGGCAGTAGAGTTGAAGGATGGGACCTTACAAAAGGCAGTGAGAAAGAAAGTATGCCCAAAGGGACAAAGGAAGCAGGCGTCTGCAGGTCTCAGTGTTGTACCTGCCCTGAACCTGTTGCCAATATATTATCGAAGGGGAGAGGAAAAAATTGTGGTTCCTTATCTCAGGTGACCTCAGTCTTGCTAGGGCAGTACAAGGTTAGGTCTTCTGAGAAATGGATATTGGGAGTCAACGTAGCTTCTGAAGAAATATGCTTCTTTATATATTAGTTACGATCAACTAAATACCATAAAAAGCAGAACCCAAATGCAAAGTTTCCACAGTATAACCTCTATCTTACTGAAATCTAATTCTTGCTCACTTGACAGTCCAGGATGAGTGTTCAGGTCAGCAGGTGGTTCCTTTCTTTTTGGTCATTCCGGCACTGTTTGGTTTGATGTCTGTCGCCTCCAAAACTAATCCTGAAACTTGTCAATGTGGCAGTGTTGAGAAATGGGCTTTTAAGAGATGATCACTGGGTCATGAGGGCTCTATCCTCATGAATGGATTAATGTGTTATCACAAGGTTCGGACTGGTGGCTTCATAAGAAGAGAAAGAGAGACCTGAGCTAGCACACTGAGCCCCCTCACCATATGATGCCCTGTACACCCCGAGACTGCAGAGAGTCCCCACCAGCAAGAAGGTGCTCACCAGATGTGACCCATTGATTTTGGACTTGTCAGCCTCTGGAGCTGTAAGAACTAAATTCCTTTTCTTTATAAACTCTCCAGTTTCAGGTATTCTGTTACAAGAAACAGAAAACAAAGTAAAATAGGCATCTAGGCTCTACCATCCCCTAAGTTCCTAAGAATGGGAAAAGAAAATGGAGGAGCATGCGGAGGACATTCTCATGGACCTAACATGGCAGTAACACAGTTATGCTCACCTGCCTTTGGAGAGACCTTAGTCACACAGCCTCACCCAAATGCAAAGAAGGCTGGAAAGTGTAGTCTAGTTATGTGCCCACAGATAGGGAAGTACAGAGTCTAGCAGGTAGCTAGTGGTTTTCACCACTGTGGTAGCCAGAATAATGGCCTCCCAAAGATGTCCACCTCCTACTGTGTGGAACCTGTGAACATGTATTGCATGGCAGAAGGAACTTTACAGATGTTTAGAATCTTGGAATGTTATTCTGGATTATCCCAGAGGGCCCAATGTAATCACAAGGGTCCTTGTAGGTGAATGAAGAAGGCAAGAGAGTCAGTTTCAGGGTGATGCAGTATGAAAAAGGCTTGACCAGCCACTGCTGGCTTTGAAGATGGGAGTGGGGAAATAAGTCAAGGGATGTAGACAGTCTCTGGAAAAGACTAGGAATGTATTTCCTTCTAGAACCTCCATAAAAACACAACTCCTTGGCCAGGTGTGGTGGCTCATGCCTGTAATCCCAGCAGTTTGGGACGCCGAGGTGGGCAGATGACCTGATGTCAGGAGTTCAAGACCAGCCTGGCCAACATGGTGAAACCGTCTCCATTAAAAATACAAAAATTAGCTGGGCATGGTGGTGCATGCCTGTGATTCCAGCTACTCGGGAGGCTGAGGTAGGAGAATCGCTTGAACCTAGGAGGCAGAAGTTGCAGTGAGCTGCGATAGCACCATTGCACTCCAGCCTGGGCAACAGAGCGAGACCGCATCTCAAAAACAAAACAAAACAAAAAACACAACTCTTGCTGACTCCTTGATTTTAGCCCAGTGAGACTCATTTCTAATTTCTTTTTTTCTTTGAGACAGTCTTGTTGTGTCACCTAGGTTGTAGTGCAGTGGCATAATCATGGCTCACTGCAGCCTCAACCTTCCTGGACTCAAGTGATCCTTCCACCTCAGCCTCCTAGGTAGCTGAGACTACAGGCGTGCACCATCATGCCCTGCTAATTTTTGCATTTTTGTAGAGATGGGGGGTTTCACTATGTTGCCCAGGCTGGTCTCAAACTCCTGTGCTCAAGCATCCTCCTGCTTTGTTCTCCCAAAGTTCTGAGATTACAGGCATGAGCCACTGCACCTGGGCTTTCATTTCTGATTTCTGATATCCCAAACTCTACGTTAATAAATTTACATTGTTTTAAGTCACCAAATTGTGGTAATCTGTTACAGCAGCAGTAAGAAATGAATACAGCCATGGTTGATAATTCCATTAACTAAAAACTACCTATTGGTGTTAGGAAGTATTATTTTAAATTCTAAGACAGTGTTTTCACTTTGTATCTTGTGCACTGACTACCTCATGACCCTTTTGGTACCAGTCAGGACTAGTAGACTTTAATATGGAGAACTTCTGAAACAGCAGTTCTCAAAATATTATGTCCAGACATACAGAATCTGCATCACCCAGGAACTTGTAACCAAACAACTTCTCAGCCACCCAGACAGAGGGAACTCTAGGGCCCAGAAGTTTGTGTTTTAACAAGCCCTTGATTCTGACATTTGCTCAAGTTTGAGAACCGCTATTCTAGGAGCTGGTCCTGCAAGGAAAGGGTGGCCTCTCAGTTCAGGTTCCAGTGTGGCTGGGGTTGGGGGTCAGGGTGAGGGTTTGGTTGTTGTGTCTGGCAATCAGCCAGGCTCCAGCACAGGGACTGTTACAAGGCTGCACTTTCCATGTTCTGGTCAGCAGTCTCACGGTTCATTCCATGCTGTGAATGGACTGTCACCCCCAAAATTAATATGTTGAAATCTATTTCCCAATGTGATAGTATTTGGAGGTGGGGCCTTTGGGAGGTAATTAGGTCATGAGAGTGGAGCCCTCGTGAATGGAATTACTGCCTAAGAGAACAGAGAGCTAGCTTGCTGATTTTCTGCCATGTGAGGACACAATAAGAAGGCAGCCATCTGCAGCATGTGAGAGGACCCTCACCATAACCTGACCATGCTGGCACCATGACCTCAGACTTCCAACTCCCAGAGCTGAGAAATAAATTTCTCCACCACTCTATGGCTTGGTATTTGTTATAGCAGCCCAAGCTATGACACTTTATGTTATGGACTGAATGTTTGTCTCCCCTCAAAGTTTCTATGTTGAGATCTTAACCGCATTGTGATGATATTAGGAAGGGGGAACTTTGGGAGGTAATTAGGTCATCAGGGTAGGGCCCTCATGAGTGGGATTAGTGGCTGTTAGTCCATTTTGTGCTGCTATAATAGAATACCTGAGACTGGGTAATTTATAAAGAACAAATATTTGTTCTTTCACAGCCATTGTATTTGGGATTAGATGGATAAACTTATTTATGTATTGGCTGACTGATTGATGGGGCCTTGTTCTGTTGCCTAGGCTGGAGTATAATGGCATGATCATAGCTCACTGTAGCCTCAAACTCCTGAGCTCAAGCAATCCTCCCACCTCAGCCTCCAAACAGCTGGTGGGGACCAAGTTTCTAACACATGAATATTGGGAGACACATTCAGACCATTGCAGTGGCCTTATAAAAAGAGACACAAGAGCTTGCTCTCTGCCATGTGAGTATACCACAAGAACACTGCCATATGCAAATCAGAAAGCAGGTGGGCCCTCATCAGACACCAGATGTGCCTGTACCTTGATCTTGAACTTGCCAGCCTTCAGAACTGTAAGAAAGAAATGTGTGTTGTTTAAGCCACCCAGTCTATGGTAATTTGTTACAGCAGCCCAACCAAGAGACCCCAAGCTATTTAAAAACTCATCAGCACTGGCTTTTTGCATCTGGACCCTGATCTTCTGGTGGGTTTACCAGTTACTTGTAGAGTGTCCCTGTGGTAGTTTTAGGTGTCAACTTGACAGGATTGAGAGATGCCTAGATGGCTGGGGAAACACTGTTTCTGGGAAATACTGTGTTTTTGGAGGAGAGTGTTGTGTGGCTGAATTTCCAGGGACACATTCAGATCATGGCAGTGGCATTATAAAGAGACACAAAAGCTTTCTTTCTACTCTCTGTCATGTGAGACTACCACACAAAGACTGCCATCTGCAAACTAGAAGCAGGTGGGCCCTCCTCAGACACCAGATCTGCCTGCACCTTGATCTTGGACTTGCCAGCCCTCAGAACTATAAGAAAGAAATGGTAGCACAGCTTGGTCTAAGTTGGAAGGCTGGAGAAACAAGGAAGCATATGGTGTAACTAAGTTCCAGGATAAAGGCTTGAGACCTACTCAGTTGACTGAGTAGGGAAGATCAACCCTCAATGTTGGCAGGCACTACACAATTACCTGAGGGCTCAGATGGAGCAAAAAGGTGGAAGAAGGGTAAATTCTGTCTTTCAGAGCTGTGACACCCTTCCCTCATGCCTTTGGACCACAGAACTCAAGGTTCTTTGACCTTTGGACTCTTAACACTTGCACCAGTGGCCCTCTGGGGCTCTCAAGCCTTTAGCCTTGAACTTAGTTACACCATGTGCTTCCTTGTTTCTCAGGCCTTCCAAATTGGATTGGGGCAGGCCACCAGCTTCTCTGATTCTCCAGCTTGCAGAAGGCATATCGTGAGGCTTCTCAGCCTCTGTATTTGTATGAGCCAATTCCAGTAATAAATCCCCTCTCATCCACCTTTCTCTCTTATTAGTTCTGTCTCTCTGGAGGAACTTTACTAATACGCCTGTTAATATTTACAGCTGTTTCATGGGGGACATTTGTCCTCAACCCCAACAGACACAGGTGAGACCTGAAGCATAAAGGACATCTCTGGCATCTCCAAATAGCGTTTCTTCATAGAGAATGGGATTGGCCCTGCTCTACTTTTTTTTTTTTTTTTTGAGACGGAGTTTCGCTGTTGTTGCCCAGGCTGGAGTGCAATGGTGCGATCTCAGCTCACCGCAACCTCCGCCTCCTGGGTTCAGGCAATTCTCCTGCCTCAGCCTCCTGAGTAGCTGGGATTATAGGCATGTGCCACCATGCCCAGCTGATTTTTTGTATTTTTAGTAGAGACGGGGTTTCACTATGTTGACCAGGATGGTCTGTATCTCTTGACCTCGTGATCCACCCGCCTCGGCCTCCCAAAGTGCTGGGATTACAGGCGTGAGCCACCGCGCCCGGCCAGAAGCCCTTAGAATGCAGAAAGATGTGTGTGGACTTACAGAAAGATGGGCCACTGTCTAAATGCAAATGTGCCAATGATGTCACCTACAGCAAGACTGCTTTGGTTAAAAAAATCAAAAGCATATGTTTAGAAGGGAAAGAAGTCATGTAAAGGCCTGGTATAGAGCAATGGCTAAAAACAGTGCCAGGGTGCTGCCTCAACTTCCTCTCACATGCTGCCCTGGTGATACCGAGGCTGGTTCAGGAACCATGACAGCCTGTCTGTATGAATTCCTTGAAGCGTAAATGCACAGACTACTTGGTTTCTTTCATATAAGTCACTTAATCCCTTAGTTTAAAATGGTTGTGTTCATGGAAAACTATGCAGCCATAAAAAGGCGATCATGTCCTTTGCAGCAACATGAGTGGAGCTGGAGGCCATTATCCTAAGAGAACTAATACAGCAACAGAAAGCCAAATACTGCATGTTCTCACAAGTAGGAGCTGAACAATAAGAATATATGGACACAAAGAGGGGAACAGACACTCGGGCCTACTTGAGGGTGGAGAGCAGAAGGAGGAAGAGTATCAGAAAAAATACCTATTGGGTTTTATGCTTATTACCTGGGTGATGAAATAATCTGAACATCAACCCCCATGACACACAGTTTACCAATATAACAAACCTACATATGTATCCCTGAGCCTAAAATAAAAGTTGTAATAAAGTGGTTGTGTGCGGACAAGAAATAAATGTTCCAGATCTGATTGGACCCTACCCCGCTAAGAACTCCCAGTGCCAAGGACAGCTTCACTATGATGTGCTGAATTTGCTTCTTCTCTGAACCCTCTACCATTTTGCTTCTGATAAGATTTTGAATACCTAGTTAATTAATGAAGAACCAACCTTACCAATGGGCATATGCTTGAAATACTTTAATTGTGGGACTGGCTAAAGAATGTTGGAAAGGCAAGATAGGTGAGCTGAGGATCCCCAGGTGGAGGCCTCCACAGTAAGTGGCATGAGGCCATTGGGTCATCAAGGCCATGTTTTGTGAAGATGTTCTCGCCATGGTGTTTTGTCCACTGTCCTGTTTGCCTGACTGCTTAGGCACAATGGACAGTGGTCTCAGCCAAGGGTTAGTGTGTTCAGGGGTAGATCCCTGGCTTCTCCTAAATGCACTAGCCATGACAAAAGGCAGTCAGCTTCAGAGGGAGCTGAGGAGCTGGGGATAGGGAAGGCCTTGAAGATGCCCCTCAAAGCCCCACTGGATGTTAATCAGCCAGTTTCCAGACAAGATAAACTAGAAAACTTTCCATGAGAATGGAACTGGGAACTGTAACTCTTCCCATAGAAGTAGCTAAAACAGAGTGAGAGTGTGTGTGTGTGTGTGTGTATGTGTGTGTGTGTGTGTGTGTGTGTAGGGAGGTGTTAAGATTACAAGAAAAAAGAAAAATGTTAGTATAGTATCGCTATCACAGTATTTCTGCTGTTACATGCTTGAGTCAATCTTTGTTTTTAGAGGAAAAAACTCTCCTGAAAAAGAAGGAAGAAGCCGGAACCTAGGAACTCCATGATTTGTGCTCATTGAGGTTTTCAGTTTTTTGTTTGTTTTAAAGGTATATTCAGAGGACAGGGTCTAAGAAATAACTTCTTATTTAAATGACTTGGGAATGAAAAATTAAAAATACTGAATTGAAATGACCCCAAGATGTCTTAACTATTAGCAAATGGCTAACCTCTTGTATCCCAGATATTGTTTTGTGGAAAGGAAATGAACTTGATAGATAAGAGACCAAAATGGGGAGCATGGCAGTGTGCCATATATATACAAATAAATATAATATGTATTTAAATAAAAACCCTTTACTAAGGCCAGGAACTTGAGGGGAGATTTTTTTCTTTCCCAGTTTGGATTCACTTTAGAATGTTGGCTTTAAACAACAACTTCTATCATTCTTGAACCAAGTTCCCCTTTACTGAAAGTTAATAAAATACAAAGTGCGGCTGTGGGCTGTGAAAGGATTCTGTAGAAAATTTTAAGGCCCAGGTTAAAAGCAGGCAGACAGCAGTTTATCAGTCAGATTCTAACCTGAAAATCAGAAACCACTCTAAGTATTCAGATGGAAGGAATTTAATGCAGAGGATACACAACACATTCAGAGTCAACATCAGAGAAAGCCACTGCCACAGATCTTAACAGAAACAGCTTTTAATATAACAATGTTACCATGTTCAAGGAAAATAAAGCTACATTTGAGAATCTGGCATACTATGAAAAAGAAAGAAGGCCCAGTGTGCTGGCTCATGCTGTAATCCAGAGCTTTGGGAGGCTGAGGTGGGCAGATCACTTGAGGTCAGGAGTTCGAGACCAGCCTGGCCAACATGGCAAAATTCCTGTCTACTAAAAACAGAAAAATTAGTCGGGTATGGTGGTGCATGCCTGTAATACCAGTTACTTGGGAGGCTGAGGCATGAGAATCACCTGAACCTGGGAGGCAGAGGTTGCTATGAGCCAAGATTTTGTCAATGTACTCTAGCCTGGGCAACAGTGATACTGTCTCCAGAAAAAAGGAAGCAAATGGAAAGTCTATTACTGAAAAATAGAAAAACTTAAACTGAGCACTCAATGGGTACATTTAAGCCAGATTACATAGCTAAAGAAAAATTTAGTGAACTGGAAGGTAAATTAGATCCAGAACGAAGCCTGGGCAAGGAGAAGGGGACAAAAGGATGGAAATGAGCACGTAAGAGGCACAAGAGATACAGTGAGAAGGCTTTATTTGGAGTCCTAGAAGGAAATGAAAAAAAGAATGGTATAGAGCTAATATCTGACCACACAATGGCTGAGAATTTACCAAAACTGATGAAAGAGAGATACACAAATTTAAAAGCCCAGAGAATACAAAACAGGACTACTTAAAAAAAAACCCACAACAAAATGAAACACAGTGAAACTGGAATAAACCAAAAAGTTTTAAAAAATCTTAAAAGAAGCTATTTTAAAAAGAATACATTAAACTGGTAGATGAACATCCAGAGTGGAGGTCACAGATCAGTGGCTTAATGCATCCAATGTGACAAAAGAACGCGGGGTCTAACCTAGAATTCTATTCCCACCAAAAATCTCTTTTAAGAATGAAGCTATTTTTAAGCAAATAAAAACTGCCTCTAGCAGGACAGAGTGTTCTAAAGAACGTTTTTTAGAGAGAAGGAAGATATCCCCAAATAAAAAATTGCAGAGGTGGAGAAGAATGAAAGGAAATGAAAAAGCTGGGCAGGGTGGCTCATGCCTATAATCCCAGCACTTTGGGAGGCCAAGGCAGGTGGTTTACATGAGGTCAGGAGTTCGAGACCAGACTGGCCAACACAGTGAAACCCCATCTCTACTAAAAATAAAACAATTAGCTGCACGTGGTGGTGCACGCCTATAGTCCCAGCTACTCAGGAGGCTGAGGTAGAACTGCTTGAACCTGGCAGGTGGACACTACAGTAAGCCAAGATTTTGCCACTGCACTCCAGCCTGAGTGACAGAGCAAGAATCTGTCTCTAAAAACAAAAACAACAAAAAAACAAACCAAAAAAAAGGAAATGAAAAGTAATTAAAATAGTAAATATGTAGATAAATCTAAAATAAACATTTGGTATAGAAAACAACTAATATATTTTAATATATATCTAGGTACATTTATATGTACATAATTAAAATTAACCAAAACAAAAGCATATAGGATGGAAGGTAAATGAATCTGAAGTATTCTAAGAAGCTTGCATTGCCTAGGATGAAGATAAAAGTATCAATTAACATTAGGCTTAAGTCAAGAATCTATCTTTTAATTCCTAGGCCTCTAAAAGAAGAGAAAAAGTATGTAACTTCCAACCAAAAAGATGGAAAAATAGAATAATAGAGTATGAATAGAATCATTCTAATCCAATCCAAATGAAGGCAAGAGAAGAGATAACACAACTCAGTTGGGGTAGAGTAAATGGAAAGCAGTGAATAAGATTTAAACACAAACCTATCAGTAACTATACATTAAAGAGCTAAATAACCCTGTTAAAACACGTTATCAGACTGGATTAAAGCAACAACTATATGCTATTTCCAAGAGGTACATCTAAAACATAAAAATACCATAAGGTTGAAAGTAAAAGGAAAGGAAAAGAAGTACCATATAACAGTAACCAAAAAAATAGCTGATGTTATTAATACCAGAAAACAAGAGTCATTTAGCAAAAGGCATTACCGGAGATAGAGGTTTACTTCATAAAATTTCAACTCCTATAACAATTTTATATTTGTGTGGCCTCAAATATATAAGGCAAAATTCATAAGTAGAGATAAATTCTAAGTAGAGATAAATAACTCAACAATTGTCTCATTAGACAAGCAAATAAAAATTCATTAAGAGCAGAGGCAATATGGACAATGTATTACAAATAAACTAATGGCTTTATGTAGATG